AATGTCGTTAACATTTATTCTATTAAAATTAAAATTAGAGATAAAAAAAAAAGTCATGAATAAATGATGTAAAATAATTTTATATTATCATCTAATTATAAGTATAATAAATTTATTAATTTTTATAATAATTATTTTAAAAGTCAAGTCAATTAATAATATTTTTTGACTGGTTGATAATATAATTTTTTTTACACATAATATACATACCCATTAAACCAAAAATAAATAAATTGATACGATTCATAATTTTTTTATAAAAAAAATTGGTATATATTGCTAGTTTTTATATAATAGACAATTATATAAAAATTGAGTAAGATTTTTATAAATAATAAAAGTTAAGATAATTACATATTTAATACGCAAAGTTCCCCTTAATAAAAAAAAAATTCATTCAAAGGTGATATTTTTCTTAAGATAATTTGATTATTCATCACTTAATATATTACTTTTTTTGGAATAGAATAAATTAATTTTATCTTAATATCTTATAGATGAATAGAATTTTTTAATGAAAATATTAACTAATAAAATCTATTTTTCCCTTTTTTTTCTTACCAGTTCTCATTCACTATAAATTTAAATAACTAAAAATTTATTTATGATTTTTCCCGCGTATTTTCATTTATCTACTTTCACATACATGTAAAAAAGAAAAAACTGAAATGCTAAATTCGTGGAGGTGGAAGTGGAGATTGTGCTGAAAATAATTTTACGTCGGTCTTTGACAATGTCTAACATAAATTTACGTCGGTTAACTCAACCAACGTAAATTTACGTCTCTCACATTGATGTCAGACTATTTTACAACATAAAAAACTTAAAATAACATACTTAAATTCTATATTTTACACTAGTTATACTCCAATAAAAATATCAAAATATAATTATAAACAATATAGTATTTTATATATTAAGAACTTAAATGTATTCTATTGGCATTCTATTTTAATTTTAATTTTATCTTTTTAGCAGTGAAAAGTCTCTTTGACATCTGTCTTTAACTAAGTAAAAGTTATTAGAAAAAAAAAAGGTGAACAAGACTAAAAATACACTTTTTTTCCTCTAATAAAAGACTAAAATCACATCATTTTTAATAAACTCAAGAACTAAAAACATATCAATTTTTTTTTTATAGAAATCATAACCCATTTTCAGAATATTATAAAGGATAAAAATATATTTTAACTAAGAATTTATAATGATGAATGATGAAAATTATTTTACTATAATGTTAATTATTTACTATAGTGAATAAATTAAATTACTGACTTTGTATATAACTGGATAAAGTTAATTTTTCTAAAAATAAGCAAAAGAAGTACTAGGAGGCTTCCCAGAAATAAGGGTGGAGACAAAGTGAGTTTTGATGAGACACATATGGCTAATAAGAGCAGACGTACTTTAAGTTGATCGCCGCAGTTGCTTTCTTGAAGGGTCTATTCGTCTCAAGAAGAAAGAAATAAAAACTTATATTTTGTAGTGTCTTGAAGTCGAATATGAGAATTTTTTTAATCATCTTTTGGTTTATATAATTTGAAAAAGTTTCTTCTAATATTTTTATTTAAATATAGTTAGTCAATTTGTAAAACATAAATCATTTATTAATTATTATTAAGAGTCCGTTTAAATATAAAATAGAAACATCTTTTAAAGTCTACTAAAAATAAAAGATTTTTTTCGTAATTTTTTTTAAATTGTATCTAAACATACTCTAAATTACATATAAAAAAAATCTCACCTAGTACAATGTTTTGTAATAAAAGTAAAACGATAAAATTGCTTGATATTTTATATATAACACATTGTTCTTGTCAATGAATCTCAAGAGTAAGACTGATTATATTTTTTAAATTGCAAAAATTAATTTTAAACTTGAAGAATTCAAAAAAGTAACTTTAAATTTAAGGGAGTATAAACATATATATTTAACCAATAAATAAATCAATTGAATAAAGTATATATATATTTTTTATTTTTTATAGGAAATTTAAAAAAAAATTAATTTAACAAAATATGTATTTTTCTCGTTATTTTTTCCCCTCATCTATTGTCATGTAATTAATCATGATAATTGACAGGTTGCATGTGTGAGGCAATTGATGATGAATAGTTTGATGATAAGATGATGTCAAATTGTATTTGCTATATTTATTTTGAATAAAGAGAAGAACACGACTAGTTTCCCCGAAAAGGAAAGGCCGTGGAAGATACCTATGAATTTCCTAGCAAGTGTTTTTAAGATTCCTATTACCAGAAGTTATGCACACCTCTAGTTGCACTAAAGCTAACTGGGGTCAACCAAAATTGATTATACTAACTTGGGATGACACATGAATGTGAAAGCACTTACTAGAAAATAAATTTCCTATGGCATATGCTTTCACAACAAAATAGATCGTCTTTCTGCAAATAAAATAAATTCTTTCTAAATTCATTGAAGCTAAATGAAATCTAATGTATCAAAATTATATTCTCTATCATATGCTGAATTAAGAGTTTCTTATCGAATTAATGTAAAAAAAAAAAAAAAAAAAAAGGCATACTTATTACACTTGATATCTTAAACTAGGTTGGCCATTTTTGGAGAAATAAAAAGTGATCAAATGAATTGAAATAAAGTGAAATTATATTAATTTGTGTCGATTAAGATGAGTAGAATATGATCGAATGCATTTCATTCTATTTCATTTATTATTACTTTTTTTTTGGTCTCTGAGTTGAATTTTAGGTATGAAGTAGAAATTTTCTATTTTTTTTTTTTTAAGTTCCATCATAATGCAACATAACAATGAAATGATAATTTTATTTCATTTTGCTCTATTAGTTCCATCCATTACACTTCATTTCATTTTATCTCATTTCAATGCATTCTACACATTATTATACCATACATAACCTCAGTAAATACTTGAAACAGCTAACAATTAAACCATGAAAAAAGTATTAGTTAAAGTTTAATGGGCATCTAAATCAATGAAACCATTTTAGACTAATCGCTAAACGGAATAGCACGAGAGATGGTGAGGAAAAAAAAATTGACATGTACAGTTCTTTGCATTTATTTAATAACTTTTGATACTGTTATTATTGAGAGAAATAGAAGACTTCCACTATATATATATTTTCTTTATTTTTCACCTTTTTGAAGCTGGCACTTAATCCTTAATCCTTCAACGTTTGAAATATGGCACACTAAAGACAGTCTAGAAGCTAGAGTGTCCACCACTTGTTTGGGGTGAAAAATTGTAAGGCAGATGAAGTCACTTTTCTAGTAGCTTGGATGAAAGTAATGACACACCAATCACAAACTTATTTAATTTTTTTTACAACTTTTTACGTCGGCCTTGGCATATCCGACATAAATTTACGTCGGTTTTCGAGTCTGATGTAAATTTACGTCTCCCGCTTTCACGTCGGAGATTTTTCTAACGTAAAAATTCTAAAATAACCAACATAAAATGTATATTTTGTACTAGTGACACCAATCACAAACTTATTTTAACTTTTTTTTTTTTGGTGCACTGGAAAATTAAAAGAAACTACAAACGAAGGAAGGAACGTCCTCTAGCATCATCACGTAGAGCTTCACATAACGAATGAGGAGGAGAGCCAAAGACAACAAAAGGCCTATCAAGAGACCCCCCCATCTTTGCCAAGATATCTGCACAAGCATTCCCCTGACGCAGAATATGAGAAAGTGCTACCCTCCAATCACGCCTTAGCAATTCACGTATCTGCTGAATAACCACCCCAAAGTTGTGAAATTTGGGAACATGTGCCATAGACACCAGCCTAAAGGCTTCCAAAGAATCTGTTTCACATTGCACCTCTCTAAAACCAGCATCCCACGCAAGCAACAATCCATGTTTCAATCCCAATAACTCGGCCAGCAGCACTGATGTGGTTTGATGCCGCCCAGAAAACCCCGTCTTCCAAGTCCCTTCGTGGTCCCGAATAACTCCTCCAAAGCCCACACAGAGATCCCCACTCTTATAACTACCATCTACGTTGACTTTCACCATTGGGGGAGTTGGCTTACACCATGTGACTTCCTGCACCTCATGAGAATGCACTTGCTCGCCTGCGAAAGCATTGTTCCAATCACACAGTGTGGAGTTAATCTTATAACGGACTTGCTCCATATTCCACTCTTCTCCTCCTAACACGTCCATATTACGCCACCGCCATGTCCACCACATAACAGCCAAGAACTTGCTACATTGAGTAATGTCAAGATTACTAGATCAGTAATGTCAAGATTTCTAGATCTCTATATAATTGCAATTAAATACTTTGAGTCTGTGTAACTACAAGTTGAAATTGTTTTTAAGAATTTTTCAACTGAAAATAAAGTATACTTTTTAATTAAAAAATTAAAAAAAATATTTTTAAATTTGTATTCAATCAAATTCATAAATTAATTCCTTTTGAAATATAAATATTACTAAAGTAGATTTTGACTTGTCCAACAAAATCTTAAGTAATTGAATTATCTATTAATTGTGTTGAATGCATATAGTTTTATATATATAAAAAGTTCTATGACCATAATAATTCAAATAAATTAAGTAAGTTCGTCCTCCACAAGATAATTAAATGCAGATTGGTCTGTACCAAAAGATGAAAGCAATGGACTTATTATGGTTCGAAGAAACTTGCAATATGCCACAAAAAAACAGCATCTCTTTTGACTTGCACTTCCGTTGTGAAGGGGTTAATTGGTCCAACAGCAAGACTTGTTGCCAATCAACATTAGCATCTCTAGAAAGTCTTCCCCAAGTCATCCCGGGGTGTGCCCCACTCATTTTTTGTCCTCTATTCACACATCACTGTTCTTAAATATTCTTAGTCAGTGACATTGGTACGTGGCATTAATTACCACATCTCCATTACCTTTGAAACTTCCTAAAACTGTAGCTCCTAGGAAGGTTCCATGAAGCCACCTTAGTAAAAGGATTATGACTGTGGCGTGCGCGCGTTTATATATTTCTTGCGCCGTGATCCTTTCTTTTCATATCATTCAGTTGTATCAGAATGACAGACAAAAATCCAAAACCACCACCAGATACACCTGACAGTGATGATTTCACCAACCAGTGGCCTTTTGAGCTCTCTGATGAGTACTTGAATTTCGATGATCATCAATGGATGCGTGATGATCTTCATGAGTCATTTGCTTCTGTGAATGTCTCAAACCAGTCTCATCAAGCCAGTAATGTAGGTGACTTTGGAGGTAGCAGCCAGTTTGAGGGGTCTTCTATAAGTAAGTGTGTTTAGTGGCTTGAGATGTTTATACAACCATTTTCAATAAATAATGTATTTGAATATACTTCAATAAAAGTATTTCTAAAGAAAAATGACAATTTTTTTTTTTATAAGATAAAACTAATTTACCCATATAAGTTAAAATTAAAATTTTAAAAAAGTTATAATAAGAGACAAATTTTACATATGGAGAAATTTATTTCTTTTTTTATATATATTTTTTTCTCTTAAGAATACTTCAGAGATGTTTATAAAAAAACTGTAATTTAATTGTTATAGTAATTGATGTCAACTAATAATGAATATTATATCTATGGCCTCTACATATTTTCTTTTGCTTATAATTATTGGTTGTGTGTAATATTAGGCGGTGGACGTGAGAGGAGGGAAGATGTTAGAGAGAGAGTGGCATTCAAAACAAGGTCAGAGGTTGAAGTACTAGACGATGGATACAGATGGAGGAAGTACGGAAAGAAAATGGTGAAGAACAGCCCAAATCCAAGGTATGTGCCTATGATACATATTATATAATAGCATATGGTGGTCTCGAAGATTTTTCAACAAGAGTTCAAATTAATAAACGATTAATTATCAAGCAGCAAATTAAACGTAAACAATCCAAACTATTAAGGTTTGTCCACTGATAGAAGTAGAGATAATATATATATATCTTCTTGTTGTTATTGTTATTTTTATAGATAAAAAAGAAACGTAAACAAATGATGAAAATAGATTAACAAAACCAAATTATATGATGAGAAAAAGGTAAGGAAACGCAAGCACATACTTGCATGTTAGAACTACCTAACCAATGAAGGAATGCATGTTATATATATACAGAAGTTTTTGTTATTTTCTCCTCTTTTTATGAAGAAAATAACCCCCACATTATTTGATTACAGGAATTACTATAGGTGTTCAGCTGATGGATGCCCTGTGAAGAAGAGAGTGGAGAGGGATAAGGATGATCCAAGGTACGTAATAACAACCTACGAAGGCAACCACACTCATCCAAGTTCTTGCTAGGTCCAATATATGAAGAGGTTTTGGCAGTGTCAAGGATTTAAATTGCAGTCACACTCCTTAATGTTGATATTTCAGTTCGGATAAACCTAGTTGATGCGATCTCTTTTAATTTACCCGTTAATTGGGAATAACGAATGCATTATATTTAAGTATATACCTGCTTCATGATACCATATCACACACGTGTATATCATGCATGATGGTATGTCAAAGAAGAACCAGACAACATGATCTCCGATGATCAAGTTCTTCCTGTGACCACTGGATACCAAGTGAGTGCAAAAAAAACCAATGACTAAACAGTGGCAATGAACGTTAAACGACTAACAATATGAGTGTGAGTCTGTAGCTGTAGAAAGACCCCACTGTTGTCGTTTATCCAAGTCCATATAAAAATGTTTTCATTCTATTAGCAGCAGAAATTCACGTTACACTGCCGAAAAGGTGAGGCAAAAATAGAAGTTTTCTACTCTTCATGAATATGTAAATAAAAATAAATAAAATGTATGCTTCATCCAAAGTATAGTATTGCCCTTCTAATGAAAAAAAGAGATTTATTCTCTCTATCGATTGCCTTATAAAAGCTTAAAGTCAACTAATATTGGATTCTTGTACAACGTACTGGAAGTTCTAAGAAGAATGAGACAAAATGAAAAGGAAAGGGCACCAAAGATGAAATGAAAAGCTATTTTTCTTATTACCCCAAATTAGATCAGAGGAACGAAATTTAAATATTTGAACGCAGAAGTTGCTCTCCCCCATCGCTTCATAAAATTTTGAACTCCCTAATAAAAGAAATCACTCATCATTTTTAATAATTTTTTCTTCCTTCTTCTCAAACGAATTCTTATTGTTAAAACTTCACACTGTAATTAAGAAGCACCAGAAATTAAGAAATTATCAAGCCATTAAAGAAATTAAAGAGGTGGGAGGCTGTGCTTATTTAAGGTGATAACCAATTATTTTACACATTTATACGAATTTTAAGAATGACTCCCACAATACAGTTTAGAAGAGATTGTGCTCAAAATCGAGCATTATTCCTTTGTGTTTGTTCGAGGGCTAAGTAAACCCCGCTAAACAACATTGAAGTGACGAAATTAATGCCCTCTTTCCTTCTTGATCAGCTCATATAATAGTGAAATATTATATTTGTACATCTATGTTTACAACTAAGAAAAACACGAGAGGAAAGAATGTGAGATAAAATGAAAAATATAAGTGTCGTGGAAAGTATATATTTAGAAATAATATTGTAAGTGAATAAAAAAAAAAAAATTGTCCAACCAGGTAACTCTAATGGGATGAGACACCATATAGCAGGTTGGAGAGTCAAACTTGTTTCCACTCACGAAGGGTCAAGAAAGTAGATTTTTCAATTCAAACTTCAAAGAAAGACTGCTAAGCAATATTTTAACAAAACAATAAACAATATTAACAAAACGATTATGCTACCATCGACTTAACTTCTGGAATACCTTGTCTCCTACATGCCCACCTGTAACTCTAATAGTGATTTTGTAGTCACCTTAATACCTGCTCATTGTCTTGTTAATATATTTAGTCTCTCAAAATATTCTAAAACGTTGATTTTAGTCCCTATATTTTATCAAAGTTGATGTGATTTTAGTCCATTGTTGGGGACTGTAAATGTGTGTTTTAAAGTAAATGTAGAGAGTAAAAACGTATTGAAGTTTTATTTGGACTAAAACTAACATTTCAAAATATTTTGAAAGATCAAAAACATATTTCACCAATTTTGTTTTTACAAGGAAACAAGTTGGCCACACAATTGAAAAGTGAAGGCAAAATAATTTAAACGTTATCAGTTACACTATTTATTCCAAGAGTTAGCAGCTGCATATCAAAGCAAACAAAACAGCCAGATTGTGTAGTCTTTAAATCTGATACACATAAGGAAAGGTGATTGAAAGAAATAAGGGTCCTTTCTGACATTTATTCAAAAAATATGGGCAAGCTGACTTGTATAACTATATACTATAATAACTATCTACATGGAGAAATTTCAAAATTTGGCTAAAATTGCGTGTAAAAAAAAATGATCTGAAAGTTTAACTTGGGAAGATGATATCAGGGTTCCGAATGTGTACATTTTCAGCTGGCTGCTCTTTACTATGAGTCCCCATGACACTACAAATATAAGAAATACTCCACAGGATATCCTCATTCAGCAACTTATTGGTAAACAATGGGGATGATAATACAATTGCCTTTGATGTTGAAGATGAATGTTTGACAGTACTAGTCATGCCACTGGCAACCAACCAACGGATCCCAGACTGTTGCTGTGCTGCAGTACCCCAATGTTGCCTTCTTCCAGCTTTGGTAAGGACACTTGAAAGATGAATCTCTTTGAGTTTAAATCTATATTGAAGAGCTTCGTTATCGGTACTCATATCTTCCACACTCTTGCTACTTGTCTCATTTAGCAGGGCCTCATTCTCCATTCCACTTTCCTTTTTATTAAGAAAATTGCTGCTGTCTTGCGGCATCATTATATGCAAGCAAACTCTTTCCACCTGAGTCAAAACCAGCATTGGAACACCAACTGGCTCATAATTTCGTAGAGGATCTCTAAGCTGGATCATAAAAGCCACCGTTAGGTGGTCTCCCAAGAGTCCGTGCTTTCTGCTGTATGTTTTTACCTGCTCCATGGCATTTTTCAACCCTCCATCATCAAACTCTCTGATTTTAGAATGGTGTGCTTTAAGGATCTTCAAAACTTGTTCTGAATTCTGATCTCCTTCAATAATGCCAGAATCCAATCTCAACCACTGATCTAATGTTATTGACAGCCCCATTAATCCATCATCATCATTGCCAATTTCTCCACCATCTTCTAGGTGCAATTTAGCAACTCTTTCTGATGTGGGAAACCCCCTCCAGTTGGCTCTTCTGCTTCCTACTGCAGGGGTCTTTGCATGTTGGGGACGGATATATGATGGTGCCTCCTCATACAAGATGCCAGACTGTATTCTCAATCCTTCTATTAAAAGGGCTTCGATCTTATCAACTGTCATAGTAGCTATAGTTTCAAGAGACACACTATCCAAGCTCATCCCTTCATCTGTTAAATAATCACATGGAAATTCTTCATACAAATCATGATGCCTGGACCCCTGCCTGAAACAGAATTAAAACAAGAAATCAGAGAAAAAATCAAATACTTTAAATGAAAAAGAAAATGAACATGATATGATGTAAGTGAAAACAGAGTTTTTTCACAAATAATGCCACAAAAACAGTTGCTAACCTTCCAGGAGCCCCTTTGTCAGCTGTGGCTTCCAACACAATACGTTCAATGGATTTTCCAGTGATATCTTGCAAAGGCATTAATTTATAGACATGTTCACACAGCTCTTCAACTCCATCAGATGCCACATGCAGCAGTATCTCCAATATATCATTACCCATTTTTGCAGGTAGAACAACTGGATTAGAAGCCTGAGTGATGAGGTTCCCACAATTCTTAGCATTCCTGAACAGGGATGGACTCATGGACCTCAAAAAGCCTCCACCCACAATTTGAACAAATGAACCAAGCCCCTGTCCAATTGAGGGTAATATGGATGATTCTTCATTGGGTAGCTCAATTGGACTTCCAAATCCACCAGAATAAGTTTCCAGAGAATTTTCGAAGTCCCTCTCATTTAAACCCCACAGTCGCATCAATGAGTCAGTCTCCATGTCTTCAAGAATTTTGGCCTTTCTTCTCTGCATTAATGACTGATTCTCCCTCGCATGCTCCTCTTCAGCAGCTTGGATAAATAAAGACAAATCAGAATTGACAGTAAAATCCCAACAGCTATGTCCAAGTGTACCTGTCCTTAATTCCTCTTCATTTGCATCAAATTCAAAGGTGAGGTTACCCTCTTTTTCAAACTGTCTTAAAAGCTTCTCTCTGGGAGACTGGGGGTCACCATCACAACTTGAGCGAAATGAACCGCTCTCCATGGCCAGCATGTTTAAGAAATCATTTGCTATAGATTCAGTGATAAAATCCAAGCTACTTGATTTTTTTTCCGTTCTATGCGCTTTATAATTTGATTTAACATTAAGGCACTTTTCTTGGTCAAGAAACTTAGATGTCTCAGGAAGTATATCTGCAGCCTTGATGCAAGTTATACTGACGCATGAACTACTGCATTTGAGTTTGCTGTCATCTGCGGTAGTCCCATCTACACAACTAGTACATATGTTATCCATTGAATCACATCCTGAATTCTTGTCAACAAATACATCATCATCTTTTATAATATCATCCACATTAATGATTTCAACTGTTGAAAAATCAACTGTTTCATTTCCTGTCTGATCAAGTTTTAAGGAATCCCCTCCCAATGTTTCTACTTGTGGGATAAAGGAAAATTCAGTGTCATCAGGTTCATGTTGATTTGATTCTTGAGGTGACTCTGATTCCACAACATGGGATTTAAGTGGTCCCAACTGTTCCAAGTCTTCCTGTGCTAAATTATTGAAGTTCCCCTCATCAAGTTTTTGATATAGGAAACTGATTGATTTGGAAAGACTTGGGCCAGAACTCATCAATGCTTCATGGGATAAATTCACATCATCAGAATGAAAAGGGTTAGGACTAAAATCCATAACACTGCTTGTACTGCTTGGCCTGCCTGGCTTCAAATTAACAAGGTTGAGAACATTTAAATTATTGCCACCAAATTCCATTAACTCACCCTTCATTACTTGATAGCTGAAACTAACATTTAGGCTAGCTCCTACAGCTTTTCCTGCCAACCTAAAACTTGTGGTCCATTTCCCTGAACTTCTATTACCCCCTAACTCTGCTAAAGTCAGAGGTAAAAGCCTTGTGAGATCAACCTGATGGTTCCCTATCTCATGTTCAGGTGCCCCTACGATAGAGGCATAAATCAAGAATATCTTGGACTCATACTTGACAGAGTGACCAGACACAGCGCGGCTAACATAAACAGAACATCCGTGACTCAAAGTTTCATTGAACTCGGCAACACCCTGGAAAACCCTTGATGGGTGTGTTTGCAAAATGTTGCTTTTCCTTTTCCAATGCACACTCAACCTAACACCATCAAAATTCAAAGGCAGACCCTCAATTGAGTGGACATGAAGATTAAAGCAACATTTAAACTTTTGATCACCAATATGGGTCAAAGCTTTCAATGGCTTCTTCCAATTCCATACAGAAGACAATTTCTTGTCCTTAGGCAACAGATCTTCGTTTCGAAATCCTGTGGTGAAGGCAACTTGAGGCTCTGACAAACGGGCTTTACCAGCAGACTTGGATCGATTATGGACCGAGGAATAGGAAGGCCTAGAAGGGGTATTGTTCAAGTAAAGGGCTTTGCTTATTTCTTGAATGTCTTGCAGTAGTAGCTGACCACTATTCCAATGAATTTCTCCTTCTTCAACATTAGCACCTTGGCTTCCACACTCAAACATGGATTTCATCATGATGTTGGCATTAAAGTTGAACAATAGTACAATCAAGCAATTCTGAAGACTTCAGCATACCCCTAATCTCTAACAAACCAGATAAATTAAAATCATAAACTCATTAGTCCAAAATCCAAAAAGAGAAAGAAAACATTATCAGAACATTAGTGGAAGAAATAAATAAAAAATAAAAAAATCATCGTATTCATCACCACCATCATCATCTAACTCCTACAACAGCTAAGCTCCTATATTAATAGATCAAAATACAGAAAGCAAGAATTTTGAGAAACCCCAATTGTTATTTTCCGCAAAACAACTTACAAAATTCACGTGATTGAAAGATGAGCGTCGAAGCAAGAAAGAAAGCAAAGGAAATGACTGACAAGTAACGGGGTTGGGTTTGGTCGGATGATGCGGGGCTATGTCTGTAAGTCGAGAAAATCGAGGAGGAGAAAATATAGTTAATGAAGCGATAATTGTGATTTGACTTGTCGTTAGTTTAGTTTCGCTTGGTCTCATACCGGCTCCGACGGTGGGGTTGGTGGTGATCATTCTTATAATCATTTATTAGGAAAAAAAAATAAAAGAGTTGAGATGAAAGAATTTTAATACATTTTTTATATAAACTTATAAAAGACTTAAAAAAAAGTTAATTTAATTATAAAATAAATAATTTAAATTATACAAGATAAAATTATAGAGATTAAAATTATAAGATTTTAATAATATTATAAAATATTAAAAAAAGAAAAAAAATTAATAAATAGTAAAAATAAAAA